CCATGCACACACATATCCCCAGCATGTTTTTAAAGCCAATGGGTCCAGGACTTGAATTGCACGGTTGGCCATGTGGGATCCAACCACCTTAATCATCCTGCCACCAGTTGGCCCCAAATTAGCATTTCTGTTGCTTATTCTTTCATAAACTTTACCTTCTGCATGGAGGTTAATTAAGAGAACTTTGACCCATTCAAACTTAGCTACCTCTGTGTGTGTGTGTGTGTGTGTGTGTGTGTGTGTGTGTGTTTTGTTTTGTTTTTGCTATAGGGAGTGTGCACTCACTAGAGAGACAGAGAGAAAGGGAGGGGTCAGCAGATGGTGTAGTGGTTATGTCGCTGGACTCCCACATGGCCAACCAAAATTCAAGCCCCAGACCCAGAGGCTTGAAACTCACACTGGCCACATGTGTGTGCATACCTAAAATCCTAGGAGGAGAATGGAGAAGGGATTGTAGCGTGGCCATCCCCCTAGAGGGTGATTTATTACTGTCCCTCTCACTGTCTCTGTCTCTCCTTTGCCCTATGGCAAAAACCTCTTTTTTAAAAAAGGAAAAAGAGAGAAGAGGCAAGTGAGAAATCACTCCTCAGGGATTTCTCCTCCATTCTCCTCTAGAGATTCTGGGCACACATGTACCCAGCATGTCTTCCAAGCTGCCAGGTCTGGATTCTAACCACACAGTTGGCCAAGTTACCTTAACCACCATGCCACTTGGCTGGCCCCATGTATGCAATTAAGAATAAGTTGTAAAGGTTCATAATCATTCAAGCTAAGTTTGTGTGCAGTTGGTGTCTCCAATTTCCCTAATACCATGTATTCTTTTCTTTCTTTCTTTTTAAAGAGATTTTGCTATAGGGCACATGTATCACTGGAGAGACAGAGACAGAAAGTGAAGAATCACCCCCACCAGGGGGCAATGCTGCGATCCCTTCTCCCCCAATCTCCTCTTGGGATTTTGGGCATCCACGCACACATGCCAGGCATGAGTTTTAAGCTGCTGGGTCTGGTGCTCAAACTGTCGTCTACTATGTGGGAGGCCAGCGATGTAACCATTATGCCATCTGCTGGTTCAATAATACCACATATTCTAATGTTTAAATAAAAGATTCAAATAAACAATGTTAGCACAGTGATTGTAAAGAAGAAAAAACAAGTTACTTCATCACTTCTGCCATTCCATATGATAAGATAAACTTAGTTTCTATTTAGTTAGTTAGTTAGTTAGTTAGTTAGTTAGTTAGTTTTGCTATGGGACATGTACACTTGCTAGAGATAGAGTTAGAGACAGAGAGAAAGAGAGAGAGAAAGGAAAAGTGAGAAATCACCAACCGCCCCCACATTCCCCCTCCCACCCAAGGGGAATGGCCACGCTGCAATTCCTTCTCCTCCGTTCTCCTCTCAGAATCTTGGGCACACACGCACGCACACACCGGCATGAGTTTAAGCCATCATGTCCAGGACTCGAACCACAGTCGAATACATGGAAGTCCAGCAACATAGCCATTACACCAACTACTGGTCCCAATTTCACTTTTTATTTTTAAAAACCTTTTCAATAGTGTGATTATGTATAGCAGGTTCAGTAAAAGAAATTTTCACTCTTTTTAAAAATTAATTAATTAAATTGCATTTATTATTATTATTTTTATTTTAACCAGATAGACAGAGAGAGAGAAAGGGAAAGAAAGAAAGAAACCAGGTCTGGGACTCAAACTGCCATTGGCCATGTGGGAGTCTAGTGCCCCAACCACCATGCCACCTGCTGGCTCACATTCTGTTTTTTTAATAAATCTCTTTTGTTGTTAATTTTTTGCTAGTGGGCACATACACTTACTGGAGAGAGACAAAGAGAGAAAAAGGAAAAATGAAAAAGCACCCCCGGGGGGATGGCCATTCTCCTCTCAGGATTTTGGTCATGCACACACACCCCCAGTGTGTTTTCCTGGCACCTTGTGCAGACTCAAACCACATAGTCGGCCATGTGGGATCCAGCTGCCTTATGCCAGTGGCTGGCTTATTTAATGAATCTTATATTCACTTAATTATTTCTACTGACATGACATGTTATAAGGTTTAATAAAAGAAAATCTTTCTGGCCATTATTATTATTTCCCAATATCCTAAAAACAACTTTGCCATTTAGAGAAAGATGTGTTAAAATGTAGTCCACTCCAGTTATCAAACACACTAGAACACTGGGGTTTTATTAATAAAAGAGTAAGTGGAGCCTATTTCCAAAGTAAATCCAGTTAAAAATGTTCTCCTCAAGCATCAGGATTCCCTCTTTACCCTCCTCTCCCGTTTCTGCGACGCTGCTCATTCCCCTCCTCGCTGCTTCACCCAGCTCCCAAGTGCCATTTTAATAAGATGGTCTACTGATAGTAAAAGGGACTCTGAGGTGAACTCATCAGAATGGGTGGCATAGGAAACCAACTGGCAGGCTGTGCATCACAGACTAGGGACATGGGGAAGGCCAGAGTGCTGGGCTCAATTTCCTGTTGTGAGGACTCAGATTGGGTCTGATCTAGATGTTTCCACAAACTCTTTAAAGGGGCAGCCATGTGAGGAGGAAAGGGGAGAGAAGAAATATGAGGTGGAGGAAGAAAAGAAAACTTGAACAAAATGCACATAAAGAAAGAGATGTGCTTTTTCAAAAACACAATGACACGAATTTCTTTTTGCTTACACATTCTTGTCCTGGGGGTAACTAGGATGCCGCATATCCAAACGAGCCAAGTGACTGATAAGAGGTTTCTGGATCAAGGGATCTAATGCAAAATTGAAATAAATAAATAAAAACAAGCAATAAATATGTGAATAAAATATTCAACCTCATTATGATTTAAGAAACATGAATAAAAAGGAAAACAAATAGCAAGGATTAAGAAATAATTACCAAGCATTGGTATGGTAATGACAAATAAATAAGCAACTAATGTGTTTTTTGTGGAGTATAAATTGGCACAACCTTAGAGGAGAATTTAGCAATATTTATCCTTAAAATTCTGTATTCATTTTAATAGCATTTTCTCCTTTAGTCATTTATTCAGAGGAAATAACCATGGCTCTTGGCAAATATATAACCTTATGTAAATTAATTATAGCATCTTTTATAATATAGAAAATCTGAAAATACCTCAAGTGTCATTATAGTGTTTTGATTAGATATATTAAAGTATGTTTTTTAAAAATTCATCTACTGATTAAAAATTATGCTCTATCAAATACTTAAGGACATGGAAAATATATTCCTAGGTAAAAAAAAAAAAATTACTGAATAGTACATTATCTCTTATACTTAGAAAAATTATTGGAAAGATAGATGTTGAAGTAGAAAGAAAATCTTTATCCCCTATCTTCACTCTCTCTTCTTGCTCTTCCCCATTCATCTCAGTTCCAAGGAGACGTCAGTTCCAAGGAGACGTTAATGTCTTGTCATATTCTGAGACACTGTTGGACCAGTTATTGATTCGAAGCCATGTGTATTAGTCTTTATGTCTGACTCCCCTTCTCTTGCTTACTATTGCCCTCATGTGGTAGGATTGTTAAACAGAATCAAGCCCATTTGCACTAACCAATTGCAGGCTCACCTTTTTTTTCTTCTTGTGGTTTTTGCTATAGGTCACGTGGACTACCCAGAAACAGAGAGAGAGAAAGTGAGAAATTACTCCCCAGGAGGGTGGCCATACCGCCAAACTGACTGGCAGGCTGGGCATCACAGACTAGGGACATGGGAAAGGCCAGAATGCTGGGCAACCCCTTCTCTTCCAATCTCCTCTCAGGATTCTAAGTGTGCACACACACACCCCATGTGTTTTTCAAGCTGTCGGGTCCAGGATTTGAATTATGTAGTCAGTCATGTGGGATCCAGTTGCCTTAACTACCATGCCACTGACTGGGCCTCACTTTGTCTTTTTTCTTTGTACTTATCATTGTTTAGTTACTCAAATCATTGTTATTCAGATTTGTAACTTGTAGTGAGCCAGAAAATGGAAGATCTCAAGAAATAGAATTGGGCCTAGAGAGAAATGTAAACTCTGTTAGGTACAGGAAACAGATGCCCTGACTATGCAGGTCTCAACGGTCCAGGTTGTCTAAGCACAAGTGTGTGTGTGGGGGGGGAGTGCATTGATAGATTCAATTAGTTAAAGTTATAAGAAAAGAAAATTCAAGAGTGTCTTCAGGGTGAGGAGATACTTTCTACTGAACCCTTTTGTAGTCAGACTTTGTCAAAAGGGCAGTGAGACACGGTAGTAATCATTGATTTTATTTATCCTGAATGTATCTTTTCTTCTGATATGAGTATGCATGATTTCCTCCACTCATGTTTCTGACTTAAACCATTTCCTGACTTGTGCAATCGTTACATGTAATAAACCAAGCCAATAAGAATACTGCATTCCTCTGTCCATGGTATTTTATTTAGAAAAGAAAACGTGCACATAAAGAGAAGTTTCCTTGGATCTAGAGACCATGTTTGGAGCAGCGATAAAAACTGCAACTCAATAGTCTGGAGAGTCTACATAAATAAAAACACCCCACTAAAAAGCTATTTAGAGGAGGCCTAGAGAACATTTGTTCAATGTGGTATCAACAGATCAATATCTAATACCTAGTAAGAGATGCTACAATATTCATACAGACATGGGTAAGAATAAATCAAAAACGTTCTTGGAGTATATTGGTCTTGAAAAATCAAAATTTGATCTTTGTCAGCCTAGAAGGCATAGGTAGAGCTGAGAGTATCTTTCTTCCTGATATTTTCCCTTTTTTGAGTGGGGACAAGCTTTTCCAGGCACAAGTCAAGTGACTAATAGCAGAGTAGAATGCTTGGGGTCAGATCTGTCCAAGTGGAATGCTCAGTCATGACAGTAGAAAGCAAAAAGGTCAATGATGTGAGCAAAGGCAAACTCTAGGCATCGCAAGGTCTGAAATCCCAGAAACTCAAATCTGTGTTCAAGTCCATCTGGTTAATATTGGCTCTAAGATGAGGAATAAAAACAAAGGTCTGACTTAACTATGCTCTGGATTCACATAGGGAGAAAAAACAAGAAAATGACAAATTAGGAGAGAGTCCAAGTAACTGACTAGAATCAGAAGTGCTAGAGATTCTTCCTACTGGATCAAAGCCCTCGATTCCTGGATAGATCAGTGTCATTTAAGAGCCTGAGAAACCAACACCAGTTTTCTAGTGATCTTTCTAGTGTACCAACTTAAAAGTAATAGAATAAATTACAAGCAAGAAAAAGCATTGAAAACTGGACTTCCATATTTGGCAGTATGGTAAGCTACATGTCTTGTTCCAACCCCATGCCTTAACTTAAAATTCTGGATTTTTTTTTAACTTTCCCAACTTTTAAATATAGTTGTGCTAACAAGAAGATAAAGAAACTTCTCAAAGACCAAAAATGGAGTAAAATTGGGAATACAGAATGGAAAAAGTGACCAAGGCAGGTACCTTCTCAGAGTCCTGGCCCATCCCTGGTATTTAGATGGTCGAATGTAATGATGAGGTAGGGGGTCATAGATAATGTCTGGGCTTTTCCAATGAGAAGATGCCATGAGAGATCAAATAGGATAAAAAGGGGTGAAAGAAAAAATTTATACCCTGTAGAAGATAACAAAGAAAATTATCTTTTACTTTTGATGGTGGAAAAGGGGAGATAAATTCTCTGAGTTCTTCTACACATAAGCTGGCCTTTATTCACTTTGGGAAAATAGATGCACAATATTTTCAAGGCTCTAAAAACTGATTAATAATCTATTTTGGGGCCAGCAGGCGGCATGGTGGTTAAGGTGCTGGACTCTCCCATATGGTCAACTATGGTTTGAGTCCCAGACCTGGTGGCTTGCTTTCTCACCTTTCCTTTCTCTCTGTGTCTCTCTCTGATTAAATTAAAAAATAAATGACTAAATAAATAAAATAAAATAAATAATTCTTTAAAAAAAATCTACTTTGAAGGGATGTTGAGTTGCAGTAGTTTCAAGTCATAGGAGCAAAAAAATGCCAATCTTCTCTGCATTTTCAACTTAGGCCTCATAAAATTCAAACTTGAGTTATCAAATATCACAAAATATACAAGGAAATAAATTCAAGTCAACAGTAAAAACAATAGCAAAATGAGGCCTGTATTTTGCTACTGATATTATCCAATAGAATATTAAAATTAGAATTTCAATAGGATAGTATAGGTGTTAGTAACAAACTAGAAAAATGGCTAGGTAGCTTAAAAAGCAAATAGAGGGACCAGCAGGTGGCATGGTGGTTAAGGTGCTGGACTCCCACATGGCTGACCCAGTTCAAGTCCCGGACCTGGCAGCTTGCCTTCTCTCTCTCACTGGTCAAATTAAAGAGTAATAATTAATAAATAAAATAAAATAATTCTTTTTTAAAAAGCAAATAGAACATGAATTATGTATATATGATGTTTGAGGTATTTACATATAGAAACAATATATAAATCTGAGACCCAGGAAGTAGGGGCAGTGTTAGTATGGAATACTATAGACATTGTGGCAGAGGACAATAGAAATATGCCATCTTTAAAAGCTCCTACTCAGAACTGGCATGTGTACTTATAGGGCATGTGTACTTACCAGAGACAGAGACAGTGAGAGGGAAAGTGAGAAATCCCCCCCGGGGGGATGGCCATGCCGCAATCCCTTCTCCTCCATTCTCCTCTCAGGATCTTGGGCATGCATGCACATGGGCCCAGTGTGATTTTTCAAGCCACCAGGTCTGGGACTCGAACAGTGCAGCCAACCATGTAGGATCCAGCACCTTAATCTCCATGCCACCTGCTGGCCCACTTCTTCTCACTTTTAATTGGTAATGGAAATCACCTAGCCAAGCTTGGTAATACACTTAGATGTTAATTGGGTTAGAAGTATAATACTTCAACGGGGACAGGCCTAGAAGAGACGGGCCTTATAAGAAGAAGCTGTTAGGAAGGGGCAGTGAATATTTTGGTAATATAATTATCGACCATGCGAGATACAAAACTAGTCTCAACCAATGGAAATGGTTTAAACTATCTGATTAGAAATGAAAGATTGTCTGACTAAATGAAAAGTAATCCAACTCTACACTCTGGCCTGATCAAAAACAGGGCCAGCTCTGTGGCCCACACGGCTGACTCTACAGTTTGAGTCCTGGACCTGGTGGCTCGAAAAACATGCCAGGCACATGTGTATGTGTGCCCAAAATCCTGAAAGGAGGGAGAGCTGGAGGAGAAGGGACTTCAGCATGACATTCCCCAAAGGAAGTGTTTTCTCCTCTTCTGCTCTCTGTTCTCTCTGACAAGTTCCCACACTCTGTAACAATAACCAAAAAAAAAGCATAAAAACAAACAAACAAAAAACACAAACAAAAACAGGGACACAGAAAGCATAAAAGTCAAAACATGGGAAAAGAGGCTAGAAGAACACTAAGCGAAGACATCTGGTGGAGCTACCTTTATACCCAGACCAAATACAATTTAAAGCAAAAACACTTCTAGAAACAGATGTGTCTACATAATGATTTAAACTTTAACTCATCAGGAAAATGTAACAATTCTAAACTTGTACACACTTAATAACAGTCTCAAAATATATGAACATACTCACCATCATAGAGGAAGATTTTAACTAATTTCTTGCAGTAAATTAAAGAGACGAGAGAAAAGGATATAAAGAATCTGAACACAATTAACTAGCATAATGAAAAAGATATACATAGAAAACCACACTCAACAGTTGCAGATTAAGCATTCTTTTAAAGCACAAAATATTTCTTATAGAGCAGAGCATAAAGCATATTAATACATTCCAAAAAATAGTATCATATAGAATGCTTATCTGACAATTATAAAATTAAGTAAATAATCAATAGCAAAAACACAAGCAGAAATGGCTCTACATGTTTGGAAATTTTTAAATGTATTTGCAGGCCAAAAAAAAAAAGTCATAATGGCAATTAGAAAACATTTAGCACTGAATTATAAAGAATGCTGCTAATGTCTCACTTTGATAAAAATTGTATATTCCCATGTAAAAAAAAAATAAAGGTTCAAAGTGAATGAACTAAGCATTCCAACTTTAGACATTAGGGAGAAAATACAGAGTAAACATTACAAAAGCAGGACAGAGAAACTAGGTGATTACATGATAAATCGGGAAAGGAAACAGGAGGCCAAGGGAAGAAAGCAACCAAGACTGTGGTCAGCTGACATCTGTCCTCAGCCTGAAATCTCCAGTTCTGAAGCACGCATTCCCGGCTGGGTCTTTCTCACCTTAAGGCCAGGGAGTCGGCTCTTGACTTCCACATCAGGCATTGGACAACCATTATTTTTAGGCAGTTACAGGAATGAGTGTATAATGTCCAGACACCATGTAGTGGTGCTACTTCTGCCTCCCAAGGGAGACCCTCCTGAGACTGCTGAAGTGTGAGCTGCTTGCGTCATCATCTGCAGCAGCTGGAGAAAGGGCACACCAAACCAGCAAAAGGAAACCCAGGAGCTCTGGACAGAAAACCAACATCATCTGCGACGCTCCATCCCTTGTACCACTCGGGCTCACTTGCTTTGCATACTAGGTTCTCTAATGGTTCATTTACCACTTCTCCAGGATTCAGATTGGTTAATTTCTAGAAAAAATTAAAGAGAATGCTAGTGGAATGAAGCTACGGCTGCCACTGCTGCAGTTGGTCCTGAAGTCAGAACTATTCTGATTCCTTTCTTTATACAGATGTGCACACACATGTGCCCTCTGGTCCATTATCTATTTCCCTCACACATGCACACACATGTGCCCTCTGGTCCATTATCTATTTCCCTCACACATGCACACACATGTGCCCTTTGGACATTATCTATTTCCCTCACACATGCACGCACATGTGCCCTCTGGTCCATTATCTATTTCCCTCACACATGCACACACATGTGCCCTCTGGTCATTATCTATTTCCCTCACACATGCACACACATGTGCCCTCTGGTCATTATCTATTTCCCTCACACATGCAC